CTTCGATCAATCCCTGCACACGAGTGATAAACTGTAATGTAAGTAAGTCTTCACAAATCTTGGCATATTAACTTATTCATCACTTGTTAACTTGTCACTTTATCACTCAAGTCAACCAGAGATGGCACCCTAGGTTCAATACAGTATGTCAAGTTATCTCTGATTGCGATTTAATGATATCACTATTCAATTTTCTCGATCCGGTTTTTAACAGCTATCACTTTTGCTGAAGGCTAGTGTCACCCCAGCCGTCTATTTGCCCATTTATTCTATCCATCATTTCCAGCCACAACCTCATTGGAATAATGCGGATTAAAACGCGTTCTTCAAAGTAATTGGGTGTGTGAAATGAAATGAAACCGTACAGAATAACATCGAGTGATGAGACTGTGTAAGGTTGTACAAGATGAATCTATCCTTGAGCAGGTTTGTACTGGTAGGACGAAAATACGTATGACAGGTCAATCTTAAAGTGACTGCTACAATCATTAAGTGTGCTTCGGCTCAATGTTTATCTTCCTAAAATAGGATGCAGTGAGCATTCAAAACGCGTAAGTAACAACGCAAATTCACAACGCGCTGTTGGAGCGATATAAAGGAATACTAAGCTAGATTTGAAGCTTTGCAATCCTCTTCTGATTCCACGGAGAATTTGGGTAAGGTGTTGCTCGTCTCTTCAGTACACGCATCAAAGATGTCTTCAGACTTGGGTTTCAGCAGACCGGAATGTATATCCTCATTCTCGCCCTCCGTAGGACTAGTCAGATCGGCTGTTACTAAGTTGTCAGCCAGTGTTAGTCTCTTCTCCGAACCGAACTTTGGTTTCGTCCCGGAAGATTTGAAAAAACGGCTCATTATATTTACATTGGATAAAGCTGTAGGAATAGTGATTCTCTGCCTTCCCAAATCCATACAGGATCTTCTTGGACACTGGTCAGGCGGCTTGTTTGTTACACAAAGTTCATCGCCAGAATAATTTACTTTATGGCGCCGCCAGGAGGGTTTGTGTTTTCGTAATTTTAGAAGTTGTTTAAAATTCAAATGGGCCTGACTATCATCGTTATCCGAATCATGATCTGTCGAGCTTGCCTCCGGAGTCACCACGGAGCTCACAATCTCTTTGACCAGATTTAGGTCTTCTTTCAAGTCTTCACGATTACTGACAATCGCAGGGTTTTGTCCGATTTTGCTAAGCCGTTCCGCCGCGACGGATTCCATGGTGCGCCTCATAAGTGGGTAATTTTCAAGCACAGAAAGGAAGCTTTCTCGGTCCAAGGAGTATAAGTTTGAATAGACTACGGCTTTTACGCTGGCCACCCGGCGAGCGTTTGTAAGCAAGCAGATTTCTGAAAAGTTAGCAAGAAATTTCATTAAGTGGTATTAGACAAATCATCAATCATTTACCATATAGGGCACTCTAAAATTTGTCAGACATCTGCTGCACACAGGAAGCTCAAGCAAGCAACATGTCAACTTCACATAAAACCCGTTTCATACTTAGTTATTTAATCGCACCTGCTCGGGAGCCTAAACACGCGGAAGTATTGTGAAGAACAATATGAAGTTCAAATTTACTCCCCATGTTTATTGTTGCTTACCTCAATATCTTATGGAAATTCATGTAGAGGACCAGCCTGCTATTACTCAGAAACAATCTTTTTGGATAAATGGCAATCGCTTTGGTTATATACATAGCCTTTGGTAGAACACAGCACTTGGAATTGATAAAATTCCAACGCATCTCCATAATGGCTGCCTTAGAAAAAAACGGTGATACTGGTACCAGGATTTTCGCGTTACCCGATCCAGATCCTATTGATACATTGATGCTTAACAATGTTTGATAATTTACGGTGTTCATAGCCATGCCAATATGCTTGGTTAAATGCGACACAACCATCATTTTTTTCTTGTTGACTTCTGTGATTTACCATCTTCTACAACTATGAGTGTAATGCAGTCATCCGTTCTGCATTCTGCAGCCACATGGATTACAAATAAAAAAACTGCATAAGAAATGCAAACTGGTTAGGGGGTGGTACGAAAAGATAATTCGCCAGGAATATGGGAACTCAACCTATGCAACTAATCCTTAAGTTAAAAGCAAGAATGAACAAAATTCAGGCGTACGGAAATTCGGCCATCTTTTCCAGGTGTTCCAAAAGCATATGACAAGCGTCCCCGCCTCACAAATTTGCGTGCACTGATGACTCTACAAAGCCCAGCTTCACAATTCAGTCGTTGGTTTTGTATTGAATATAAGGTTTGCTTTATTCAACAAGTAGAATAGTGTTTACCGGCATTTTAGTAGGACCAACAGAAGTGTGCCCGCTTGTACGGTTGTAGCGAATGCTGGTGAGAAATTATGTTGGATTAAGTAGTCATACCGGCGGTTCGATTATCTTAGGTTTGTGATTGTAGGTTGTCGTACTCGCCAACTGAATTCAGCCTACCAGCTACTCTTATAAGCACCTCCATTGGCATGTTTCTTCGCACATTCAGGAAACTTATACCTTATCGGAACATCAACTGGGTGTTGATGTTGATCAAGATAAATGCAGCTGATCCTAACACTCTTCAAATCGATGTTAGGATGGATTCTAAGGCCAAGTGTGAGTACCTCTTGATGTTGATCAAGATAAATGCAGCTGATTCTAACACTCTTCAAAGCAGCAATGTATGATTCATCGATGTTAGGATGGATTCTAAAGCCAAGTGTGAGTACCGTTCACAAAGCAACTAAGTGACAAATAGAATTATTTTGCTCACATTTTCCTCTCCACCACGTGATCAAATAGCGAAATGTGGATACCAAATCTGCAAACCCAAATGGGAAGTATTCATTAGAAGTAAACGGTCCGGCAAGCTCAACTGACTCCTTGCCTCTGTAGGTGGTGTTGTTCACATGTACAGCAAAAGACTTCTGCATGTTATCCCTGCAGGATATTTTCAGGACATTACCCAACACACCGCCAACTACCGAGTGCCCCACAGATCAATCTGGTAATATACCAAGTTTGCTTTGCCCCTCGGGAATATTTGCTTCCATTTCAAGAATTTTGAGACTACTTTTGCCACTTATTCGAGGTAATTGGTGTGCAATTATCTATGCATGATTTGCGCCTTAAAGCTTGTGGGGTGTATCAACCCGTACAATCTTGTGCATTATGCGTAATCCCATCGTGGATGAGCTCAGAATACCGCATGACTAAACATGCTATCTAACGGCTCTGCCTGACTAATCTTAGTTTTCACATTGGATCTTCGATGCTATTCAACACATGTGGTACCTATGCAACCTTGGCTTATGATACGTGGGGGGATCTTCGATGCTATTCAACACATGTGGTTGCAATATTGGCTTATGATACGTGGGAGCAAACAATCGTCCAGTAGGTGCGCAAAATGTACAGGTGCTTATGCACCTATAAAGGCAAGATCTTCCCCTGTTCGGGCAATTTCAGTACCGTATAGAGCCTCCTGTTTTTTCAGCGCTATATACTCAGCAGTTGCGAATAGGTTACGAAACCTCCTTTGTAATATATCTGCGCGCAACTTTAATTGCATATGTCCCATTATAGAGCTGGCTAGATTTCTAAAACAGCATCTGCAGATATGGATAACAAAAACAGTAAATCCTGGTTGCGTGTACAATGACCCATCAGTGCACCATGTACGGCTGAGGTACCATCCCTCTTTGCCGGTGGGACGACAAAATGTCTGGCTTAATGTGACGCCGGGCAAAACTGTGACCAATGTTGTATATTCACCGCAATGAGCTCTGATTTTGCAGCATATCTCGGAACACGTCTTAAAGAGTTTGCAGATTTGTCTACTCACTAGTCGTTGACGATAACGACAACCTGAGTTTTCGGTAAGAATCCGCTAACTCATTCTGGATTCATGGATGAATCCCAAACGCGCGGACGTTGTCCTTTGGAAAACTGCCTCAGAAACCGTCAACAACTAGATATAAAGCGTATTCAGTTTTTTATCCTCCCTGTTACCCGCTGGCTATTTTCAAAAGCTTTAAAACGGTTTGGTTGCGTCCCGTAAAGTTGTTTGCGTGAAATGAACAGCCCGTATTCAAACTTAGATAGGCAGAAATATTTCATGTCTTGAGTGCCAGTGAGCTCCAATCTTCGTAATACTAACTATAATAACATATTATGCTGTAATGCAAACTCGCGGCATAATCAATATTAGTTATATTTGTTCTGATTCAGTTTTAAAAACCACCAGCATAATCGGAAACTGACTTAATTATTTATGAAGCAATTCTGATTTACTTGGTACGACACTAATTAGAGAAGAAAAGTTGGAAACTACAAGATCTCACTACAACTTTCCTGAAAGAGCTTAACATGCCATCTCCCTTTGCTACGAACCTAGCGCGGCAATGGTGAGTTAGATCGGGTCACTTCTAAAGAGGGCAACTCTCTTCACCATTCATTCATCTTCACGTGAGTCATCGTTTCCACGACAAATGGACTGACTAGAGGCCTGCTACACATTCCTATTTCACTCTTGACCAGAATTCCACCACATGTATTCAGTTTAAGACAGAGTTTGAAAACAACAACCCGGCCCGCTTTGTTAATATTTTGGCAATTTCTGCGCGTTTTCTGGATGGAACTTGCGTATGATTTTGACGGATTATTAGGTCTAGTAGATTTGAAAATCTAGCATAGTCCAACCCGTATCACCATCATCGGGAAATTAGAGCCTACGAAAAACTCACCGCCAAAGTACGATCCATCTGAGAGGCTGGTGGCTACCTCACCATCTTTGGTGATGATATCCACAATACCCTCTTGAATAAAATACATTTTGTTACCAATAGTCCCTTCCTTGATAATCAGATCACCCGGTTGAAAAACCTCGAACTTCAACTTGGTCACAACCTCAGACACGAAATCCTGATCCGCGTAGGTGAAAAATGGGACAGCAGCCACCAAGGCTCGACAGTTGTAATTGATTATTTGCTGCGGAATAAAGGTGTGATGAAGGGGAAGTAAGTGGCACTTACACAGTACGAATATGAAACAAAGGATGCATTGCTTTAATCAGAAATACATATGTTCAGTCTGTGGTTCTTGTATTAATTTTATAGAGCAGTTTCACGAAACTGTTGATACTACCTTAGATTAGAGGCAGCGGATGATTGGCGCATAAAAATTTGGACTAGTCACGACGTGGCCACAAACTGACGGATCATGAAACATACAGAGGCATCCTTGAAGCCGACGATGATGGGCTATATTTTTGGACGTGCTATCTAGTATACTAATGAAGGAGGAATCTATGGAGGCGTCTTTCTCTAACACGATGCCCACTAACTCGACGAATATTGCTATTCCAAGTTTACAAGCGGGTTAGTAAAAATTTAGCAAAGGATCGCATTCATGCCCCCCAGTTTTAAACATGCAAACTTTGAATGAGATAATGAGGGTTACTGATTGAAGGCGATTAAACTAATCAAGGTTCATCTAAAATCCATGGGGGATGGGAACATTCGAAATCAAACTGGACGAGCCTATACGATCGAGCGATTTTACGCAGATGTTGCTTTGAATTGATTGCTTACACCAGTAGAATCATGTTCAGACTGTGCAGTATTTTTAGGCATTAAATCAAAGCATTTAGTAATTCCAGTCCGAAAAAAGGATCAGTTACTAGAAATTACATATATAATCTAATTTTTTAAAAGTGAAACAAGTTCGTGATACGTGTATTGAGATATTTGTGACAAACTGGTCTGAACCGCATAAAAGCAAATTTGTATTCAGCCGACAATGTACAACTGGCACTACAGCATTGGATCTTTGGCTCACTATCCCCACTTAACCACCTTGTAGCTTATCTCCCTTCCATTTTGGTGTGTTTGTTTTTTACTAACGTGTTAAATGGTAACGTAGATTTTAAAGAGCAGTTTATTCTTAAAGGGTGCACATCAATGTTCCATAACCCATTTCTCACTTAACATCCATTTTACATATCACAAAATGCAGTGACATCAACCAATTTTGCTGCCGTTATGTAAAATATTCTTGGTAACATTTGGAGATATTGCATTAATAAGACTTGAGTTACCGGGAAACCTCTTTTAGTGTGTGACTCAGGATACATGAAACCAAATGACTGGACTTTCGTTAAGTGTTTTGAAAAGCCTCCAATTAGCAGCAGAAGTACAACGGTTTTTATTCGACTAGTTCAAGAGCACAAAGTCAAAATACGTGAAACTACAAAAAGCGTGTCACGTTCAGCCTCAAGTGCGCTTCTTCTCTTCTCAAAATTATTGCTTAGCGGACATAAGAAGCTTGAATTGTAGAGGACTTGCACAAGTGGGCGTTTTATGATGATTGCCTTAATGTTTTTATTGAAAAAGCAACTGTTCCAGGAAACCACAACGATCCCGAATGTGTTTGGACAAAGCATGATTCCAGAACAGCTATTCGTGCTGTTATATTGCTCATAGATCCTAATGATGATGGGGCTCAAGACTAATTGGGTTTGGTTGGCTCTATCCGGCAAATGTAAACTTTGACGTCGTCCTCTGCAATTAGAAGGTAATCAAAATCGAAATTTTAACAAGTGTTCATGTTTTACTAGGATCACTTCATTCAGCAGTGTGCATACTGCGATGATACTAAGTGAGTTTTAACGTTTTCGACGGTTACTCCCAAAACAACAAGCTGCGTTGCAGACAAACTCATATAATAGGAATGAAAATGCAACTGATTTTGTCTCTAGTGGATTGTCGAGACAAGGGTCGGGCGATGGGGAGATATATTTCATTCTCTGGAGAGTGTGCATCTTGTATCGATCTCTCCCTAAAGTGGAAACGTTTTTGAAAGAAGCATACATAGTGTAAGGCACCAATATATCTGAGAAACACTGGCATCTCAAGTAGCATGAACAAAATCAAATGTAATTTTTAGACTGCGACTAAATTTCTTTCCACAACTGGTCAAATACACCCGGAAAGCATCGCACCCACGATGGGTCTCGCTTCTAACGAGAGCTCGAAAGACCATAAGCTATACTGCTTTTTGACCGCTATTTCAACAGCTTTTTTTTCAAAGTGCAGAAAGACTTTGGAAAAGGAGCAAAAATGAACTGATATCCGTAAAAAATAGCCTTCTTTAAATGATCGTCAAAAGGCCATGGAAAGACAGACAAATGTGTCGGCGGTTGAGGTCACCTCCTTCAAAAGCATTCAGCACAGCAAACTTCTGTGTTAGCTAACTTATACACTTCAAAAACGAGTTTGTGAGCGTGTTCCGAAGAACTTACCACCTAAAGTTTTGAAACCACCGTCCTGTGCGATCTGCGGTCATTTAGTGGTATACAAAGTGGGTGAGGAAACAAAACAATCGTTGAGGGTCACAAACTGGCCGATACACAGCGGTTTCTTGTGGCAATGGAGAATCGGTGCTATGAGCCAGATTTATCCTTGTCTCGGTGAGGCCGGCATTGTCTATGAATCAATCAAGTATGGGGCCTGATAAATATTGCTGAACTTTGATTTCATTGACCTGTGCTCGTCGGTACGTTAAATTAACTTCTAACTGACTTACTCGACCTGATTTTTGAATGCACAAGGACACAGAATAACAATTTAACGAATCCTATCATAATTTTTCGTCTTGACTTGGTGAACTGCCTAAAGTTACCGCATTTACAGATAATATATTGTTGACTGACTAAGTTATATTTCATGTGAACTGGATCCAGAGGCATCTTTTACGTCTACATTTGGAACATCGGATCCGGGGAGTATACTGTTATTGCCGACGCTTCTACCTAATTTGCGGGGACATTACAACGATTCTGTGTCTTAAAATCATGAAGTTTTGTTACTTGCCAACAATGTGAACTGAAAGTGTCTAGGGAGTATACTGTTATTGCCGACGCTTCTACGGGGGACATTACGACAATTCTGTGTCTTAAAATCATGAAGTTTTGATACTTGCCAACAATGTGAACTGAAAGTGTTTAAAAATCAACGTAATAATCCTAAACATTTTTTGCCACCAACCCTTTTTACAACACACGGTATTGTGAACATTTAGTGTCGAATAAGATTCGACTGTTAAAAATATGGTTTCTTTGTTGTTTCTAGGTGTCACGCACAGAGTGCTACTTCAGCTCAACCAGTTGAAACATATGACCGGGTCACTCCAATCTTAGCCGTTCAGTTTAGTGTGCCACGCGCTACTAAGTCAGCCAAAGGTTGCTTTAATTATGTCTGTCAGTCCAGATTTCCAGTTCTCATTGTACAGTTGTTCACAGTGCCGTGTGTTATGTAATAACCTGGGTATTTTAAACTTATTTTCTTTCCTCCTTGTTCGTTAGCACTTGGCTTCGAAGGGGCTGGAGACATACCGTTTGAAAAGAAACAGTATGGATCTGCAGATTTCACTTCTGCATAAATAAAAAGATTACTTCTTTCATTGCGTTTTAGTCATCCTATGACAGTTCCCTTCGTCATATAACAGTCATAACACATATAAGAACTGCTCCACATAGTGGTCCACTGTGAGGGAGAAAAATGGGTGTGTGGTTTTTAAAGTCTGTTGAACAGTCAACTTTTTACTAGTTCTCAAGTAACAACTCACAATAAAAGCCCAGCGAAATGATTGGCACAGACTATACTTATATCGTTCAAAAATATCAAGCGCCCAGCACCCAAGTTGCATTGGCTGAAATACCAGAGATATTTAAGGGGGAGGCATCTCAAGATAAGAGTAGCATCACAGGAAATATATATAATATGACAACTACACGGGTCAGGGTTTTTTCACAAAATAAACCAGAGGTGCTACTCTGTCATGTAAACAGTGGTGCCAGGGTTCCACGCGTAAGACCGAAGAAATTCCCCCAGCTAATTCATACTGAAGAAATCCAATTCCATAAACTTCAGCATTGGACCACCGAATTTTCATTGGAGGTTTGTTTAACATTTACATTCACCTAATTACTGACCATACTGGAATGTGAACAACCTATAAAGAAGACAAAATACCTCTTAAGTCCGAGTGCTTAGGCGGAAAAGCAAAAGGTTGTTTCCGCAGAGGATAAGCGGATGTTTTGTTTCAGAATCTGTCACAAGATAAAGCTAACTGGTTTTGCCTTGTCAAGCTGAAACTTCAAATAGTGTATTTCCACAAAGATTTGTGACCAAGTCACCATCACTAACAGGACATAAAAACATTGCATCTTTAAACATTTGAGGATTCAGCAAAAAAGGAGACATTTCCTTAAAATTTCAACTGTGTTACTTTGTGGTTGAATAGAAAACAATTGATAATAGGAGCTTATTTCTCGAAGAACACCAAACTTCAGACTCTTTAAACATTTGAGGATTCAGCAAAAAAAGAGACATTTCCTTAAGATTTCAACTGTGTTACTTTGTGGTAGAATAGAAAACAATTGATAATAGGAACTTATTTCTCGAAGAACACCAAACTCCAGAGAGGAAGGATGTCAGACACAACAGAATCTTCCAGTATAAGGGCGAAGGCTTTGTCAATCGAAAGCGGCGGTATTAAATACCTTCTCACCATTAAACAGATTTTACATGATGACTGCTTGTAATCGTAAGTTTTCCAGAAATTCTAATACGAATTATGGATTGCTGAATTTCTATCAATCTTTCGACGCACATAATAAGCCTGACACTCGTTTTTTACTTAGGACGCCACGCCGGGGTACATATTTGATGTTTTTCTCGGCATCTGTGTTGTCTTGTTTTCAATTCAGTAGGCGTATTCCAAAAAGTTCAAGAGCATCTTGTGTGAAAAAATGAACATCTCATGATTATCATTTTGCAAAATCAGGATACCATTGCGTAGCTTCATCCAGTGGCTGTTTACTGCAAAAAAGACGCTTGCTGTGAACCAACACGTCATGCAATAGATTTTCTAATACCATGTTAACTAACCTGTTATTTGCATAATTAATTTGAAGCAATATTTTGTGC